ATATTATATTATATTATATTATATTATATTAGGGGTGCAGCAATACATGGACCCATATTGAACTGTTCAATACACACTATGTATTAGGCTTGGGCAATATTGCCAAAAAACATTAATTACGATTAATTGTGGTATTTAGACGATAACGATTAATTTGACGATTAATCCCCTGGAGTCCCAGGTCACCCTTTAGTCACATGACCGATTTAATGGGAAAGATTCTTCATAAAAAATCTGTTCCAAATTGTGTCAAAATTGCAGACTTCTTCAGGCTAGACATCAAATTTAAAATTGTGTTGATAGATAAATTAATCACACAACTTTTTTGTCATGTTTGAAGCAGAGAGGAGCACCGAGCGAACTGACTGACATTAATTGTATTAATCGTCAAGTGCCAAAAAAAATCCATTAACGTTTTTCTGACGATTAATTGCACATGATACGATTATGTCCAACCCTACTATGTATCGAACAAAACAGATTTTTAAAATTTATTTTATCAACTTGTCTTCTGAAGATGCTCTGTGTTGAAGGATCAGTGGATCTGTGTTCGACTACTCCACCTAGGCTGCACTGTTGAGTACAGATCCACTGTAAACTTGCAACATTTAATTTAAAAACTGTACTTTTGGGGTTAAACAAATGTTAATAATTAATATAAATAAATTACAAGTTAAAAAGGGCATGGACATTTCTCTTTTTTGTGTCAAAAAAATTATCGAACCGTGAGACTAAAGTACTGAACTGAACCGAATCGTGAATTTTATATATGTATGTATGTATGTATGTATATATATATATATATATATATATGAGATTATGGTTGTGTGTTTTGTGGTTGGGCAGGTTTTATGTTGAGTTGGGGCTGGAAACTGACAGTCCAATCTGGCAACCCCTGGACTTCTCTTAAGTGTAATGAAAAAATAAATTAAAAGTTTGTTGAAATAATGAAGTCAGCTGTTGCCAACTCTTTTGACTGAAAACCTCCGACTATCCGTCCCTTCTCTTCCTTACCTTTACCTCCTTTTCCCTTCCTCTCCTTCCTCTCTTCCTTTCCTTGTCAGTCTGAGAACCCGTCCAGTCCGTCCTCTTCTCCTCCTCTGTCTCCTTCCACCACCCCGACATTCTCAGATGAAGAAGAGGAGAATCCCCGTTTTGCCAAACCCAAAGATTCACCCTCTCCTCCTCCTCCTCCTCCTCCTCCCCCTCGCCCCAGGTGGCAGGTACTCGGAGCTGTGAAGCTCTGCACAGCTTGGAGGAGTTGTTTTGTTTTTGGTGACACCTGTGTGAGTTCTGTTTCTCCTCTGGTTTCCAGCCTTCTGTTTACCTTCGTTTACTGGAGAACCCCGGCGCAGTGGTTCAGCAAACCTCCTGCTTCTCTCCTCCTGACTCGTCTCACAGCCTCAGTCGCGCTCCCTCACCTCTGCGCTCTAAAAGCCCGTTAGGTGCTCCAGACTCCCCGACTCGTTTCTCTGCTTCCGCTCCGGACGGCGATCCGTCCTCTGACGTGTCCGAGCGGCAGGTGAATTTCAGCTCACGTCTGAATCAGGTGTTCTTTTCCCGCATCGCTCTCCTCTCGTCCGTGACCTCCTCCTGCTTTCCCCTCAGAGCAAAAACCCAAAGCTGTCGGCTGGAGAGTTTTCCAGGAGGAGCATAAAGGAGAGAGCTGTCCTCATCTCCTCCATGTTTCACGGGTCCACTTCCAAAGCTAACTATCCGAGGGTAGTATTTATGGAGGATTTGCTGCATGTAATTACAGAAAATGTAAACTTTTATGAGAATTATTTTTAAATATACCTAATTTGTGGAATTAATCATATTGACTATTTTCACTCTCTTTTGAGTTACTAAATATGGAGGACCAAC